TTACTTATATCAACTTGAATATCAACTGATAAGTCTTACAACTCCCTTCAACAACCTGTTGCTTTGCTCAGATAACAATTGTTCTGACTGAACTTTTCTTCATCAGTAAATTGTCATTGAATAGTGAAGAGTCTCTTTGGATTTTTTCAATTCAATCAGTTCGATCAACTGTTGAATCCTTGAGTTTTGACCTAAAATGGGACTAAAGTTTCGATTCCTTTTGATAACGAATCAACATGTTGACTCATTTAGAGACTCAACGTGGGCTCTTATGGATTCAGTTTAATTTGTTTTTCACCTGAATATCACATGAAGTTATCTTTTATCACTTTGACATTAACAATTTAAAAGATGAACCCAAATGAAGGTTGAAGAATCAAAAGGATAAAATAATAATCGTTTAATAATAATAAAAATGATGACCTTTAAACTGATAATGTTACAATTAAAATTGACATTTGACTGTCATTACGGATCAACATAAAAGCCATGTTAAACATGATGACCTTTGGGTCGATTGAGTTGTTCCCTTTGACCAATAGATCAATTGAATTTAATGTAAAACAAAAGTTGAAAATGCCTTTGACATTTAAGATGGCAATCAAGGTACTTTATGATAACTGTGATTATGATTATTGAGTGGGATTCTGTAATTTTAATCACAGTCAAATTCAATTTTCTTCTTGATTGTTTCAAATTATTGTGAATAGTTTTCCTTAATTTCCTTGCACTGAAAGGGTAAACAATTTACTGATTGTTGTCTACATTTGGTTATCAAAAACAACAACAACAACTTATCCACTTTCATTGACAAAAGGTAATCTAAAAATACATTATTTACTGTCTTCTTGATCTGATGTTTTATTGCATGGGTTTGCTTGTTATTTAATCAAAAACTAACCATTTATGGTTGAATATATTAAATATACAATAATATGTTTACAACTTTGAATAAAATTGTAACTTCCGATTGATTAAATAATATCAAATTACATGTTTAGATTATTGTAAAGTCATAATTATCTGTTGGCATTGGTCAAGATGAAAAGGTTACAAGCTTTAAAATAACCTAAAAGTCACCCAAAAATATCAAACGATCAAAACGATTGTTAAGTTGACCAAAATTATGAAAAAAACCCAAACCAAAAAAATTTCCGAAAATCGGTTTCGATTATTTTCAGGAGATTTTTTTTCCCAGAATTCAATAAATTCTGACAGAATTTTGATGAGATTGAAAATGTTTAGTAAAATTTAAATCAATCGCTGATCTGTAATTGAATTTGAATTGTGATTAATTGTGACAATTGTTTTGGAAAAAAATGAAAGTATAGTTTTAAAGGGAAAAAAGATGAAAATCAAAACAAAATTGGTTTATAAAAGGGTTTAAGGTAAAGTTTAATCAGTTATACATAAAAGATGATCAAGTTTAAGATGATGATAATGATGATGATGGCACAAAAAGTGATAAACTGGGATGTAACTGGGAGGTGGGAACAAGCTGAAGTAAGTAAAAAAGAAAGAGATGATAAAGATGATAAGAGAGGGAAGATGATTTGGGATCACCCACGCTGCATCAGCATAGATTCAATGCTAAGAACCGCTAACTCCTTACAGCCTACTCTTTCTTACCTGTTGCTACTTTTTCCTCTTTCTTTTCATCCATCATCCCCATCATCCTGATCATCCTAATCATCATTATTCTCATCATCATCATCATCATCATCATGTATCTCTTTATTATCATCTCTTTCTTATTGGTGTTTTTTTCCTCTCTTTTTTTGTTCAAACACCAAACTGAATCATCTGTTAAACTGAGTGTCAATTTACTCGATCCATTTTATCAAGAGAGCCTTTACTTTAATTGTAGTTAATTCCTTGTAATCAAATTAATTGTATTTCGTTTTCTCCAAATCTCAATGTCATCATAATCATCACAATTAAACACAATTAAATGTTGCCAATCAGTTTGACTTTTTTATCCGTGAGTTGAGATGAGCTTTACTGGTTAAACCTGACCGTAACATCATCACCTCTCAAGTCACAGTAAACAATAACAATAGCCAATCGACTGTGTAACTCTGTGAATGTTTTTACCTTTTACTTTTCATCTTTAATTGTATTATAAATTAAATGTGAATTGTAATTGAAATTAATGCAAGGCAATAGATCAGATCAAAGTAATAGGGAAAGCCATTTTGTTGATGATAAAACCGTTGATTGTTCGCTAATTGGTTTTAATGAACCTTCCCAATCCAACCAAGGAGACACTAATCGTAACAACAGCAACAGTGAAAACAGTGATAATCAACAATTGATTAACAGTACAAGTGAAACCATTTGCAGGGATAACAATCCTAATAGTATGGGTAAAAGGTGTTTTGACTGGTCAACCATGGCAGTCGCCTCAATATCACCAACTCTATCTGGTCCCGTTTTAACCTCATCTTCATCGCTAATTGATAGTTCACTAATCATTGGATACAACAACGAGTCACCATCTTCATCACCATCAATAGCTCATCATCATCAACAGCAACAGCAACCTTTATCAACACCAACTTACAATTATCCTTCACCTTACAATGGACTAAGTTCATATTGGTTTTACCAAGGAGCCTTCAATAATCCAATCAAAGGTAAACAATCAAATCAGTTGACTAATCAATTTTAACCTGATCAAAGGCATCATTTAACCTGTTGGCGTCAACAAAACAAGTTGACTTTAATTGTCACCAGAAAACATTAATCAACCATTTACATTTAAAAGTTCATATTGAATAAAATAGCAATCATGATAATAATAATAACATGATAAAATGATGTAGGATGAGAAACAAGGGAAAACTGGAAATGATAAACCATTTAAGTTTCCATTTTTTATCATCCTTCTCATGTTTTCCCTCATCTTTATCATCATCTTACCTGACTACTTTACCTAGTAATGGTTTTTGTCTAGCGGCCAAAACAGCCGAAAAGAGAAAAACATAAAAATTCGAAAATCGAAAGCAAAGTCCGAAAATGAAGACAACGATTTCGATTGACGATCGTTGGTCAACTTTGCGACAATGCAAATTGATCCAAATGTTGGCATTTCAATATTTGACTCTTGACGCTTGTTGACTCGATTTGTAACCAAGTTTTGGCAACGCCATTCAACAGTTGAAACATTTCATGTGCTCATTACATGAGCGTAAGTTGACAATCATCTTGAAACGTCATATTATAGATTCAGCTTATTATATCATTATAGGAGAAGTTGAACTTTAAAGGGATAAAATTGCTATCAAGTTGAGTGCAACAACTAACCCTGAATCTTCCGTAAATGGTTATACAGAATTGTATAATCAAAAGTTCCAACCCAGTTGGTCATTTATATTCAAAGGGAAACGATTACAGTGACAATTACAATTAATTGCGTTTCAATCAAAAAAATTGAAACTTCAAAGTTCGGTCAACTTTTTTTCATTGGAAATCATTTTTCCTCTTTTGTCCAACTTTCAAACACAAGCAAATATTCATTTGTCTTGCAATTGATTTTGTTTTGCAAATTGTTGGACAAATTATTTCATTCATTTGAATGTTTCAATGAGATTTGAACCAAAATCACATGAAATTCATTTCAACTTTGGAATTGAAATATGAGAAGAAAAGGTAAAAATTTTCATCATTTTTTTCCTTTGCTTTGCTTTTGTTGGAGGAGTTTGCATTTTCAATTTTAATCGTGAAGTTGACTTACTTTTTACTGGAGTTTAAAATTGATTATCGGTTGACTTTAAGTTTGATGATTAATGATGAATTAAATGATAACTTTGAATGATTTATTCAATTGTGAAGTCAATTTGTCAAAGAAAAGGTTTTCTTGTTCATCTCAATCAGTCACAAGTTTATGATTAACATTGATATCTATTAACTTTTAACCAATGTTCAAGTTTGCTTTGCATTTTTAGTTTTGTATTTGCCTTTGAAAAGGCGTTCCAAGTAACTTGAATAATGTTAATAATGATAAGTTCAATGATGATAATGATAATCATAATTGACATGTTACCGGAAATATTCATGATTCAATGATGGCTGATTAGAAGTTTAATAATAAAGAAATGGCAAATTGTCAATTGTAATGAAAGTCAATGATAAATGAAACATTTTCATTTTTGAGTCTTTTTTTGTCTCTTCACTTTGAAATGGCAAGTCTTTTGATGTAAATAATAGTTAAATAGTAATGGCAATAATTTCGTGATTATTGATACAGTTGAGAGTTTAATCAAATGTTTTTCACCGGCAATCAAAATCACAATCAAGTCACGGTCAGCAATTGAGACTTTACAAGTTTACATTGGTAAACATTGAGTTTTGAGTCAATTTCAAGTCAGGTTTTTTTGGGGTTTGATTATTGTCGATCATCAAATTTGGTTGGTTAATTGTCAGTAAATCTTTATTTGTTTGATCAGTTTAAGAGGTTCAAATTTTTATTCAAATTTACTGATTCCTGCTGTTTGTTTGAAGCAAAATCAAAAGATGATCAAGTTTGCTGAGGCTTTTTTGATGCTTTCAATGTTTAGTGGTTCAATATTTTTTTGCTAATTTGTTTGCCTAAACAATTGTGCTTGTTTGAAGATGTGTGTTGTGAGTTTGGCAGGGAAAACAAAAAGACTATTCAATTGTTAACAATTAGCTTAATGATGATCGGTAAATGTTACAATTATCAATATAATTTCAATTTATTCATGACTTTCTTCCGGAATATTTAGGAAATGAAAACATTCCTAATTTTGTATTGTCAGCTGTTGACTTTTTACTGTTTTTTTATGTTTCAGCTTTGAGTTTTTATTTCAATTCTTAACTAGTAAATTAAACTCTGCAAATTGGTTAATTGTACAATTACGATTGCAATTTCAAAGCAATGATTTACAATTAAAAATTTAAATATCATATTATTATTAATATATCGCGTAACTATCATTTTAAGATCTTAATTAAGAGATGATCGATTGGAAATGGATTGTTTAAATAATAGACGTACAATGGAAATGACAACATCGAAATGGGAAAAGATCAAACCTTGGGTTTTCCGCTCTTCGTAACCCACGTTTGGATTTCCATATCCACTTGACTCGACTCTTTTGTATCTTTTGGTTTCCGTCAATAACTAGATATAGCCATGGCAACTAATTTTTTGAGATAGTTTGAATTTGGGCAGAAAATTTTCTGTGTAAAATGAAAAACAAAGCCATTAAATATTTGGAATCTGTAATCTTGTCTTCTGTGGCTTCCCTACCTGCCTCAATAGTTGCTGTATCAACCTACGATTCAGTATCATGACTTGTTTTTATTTCTGTCTTTTACTTTGAAGTTAGAGACAGCCGGTTAACGTGTTGAGAGGTCCGACTTTACTCAGTAAATATTACACAAGAACGTTTTGAAAGAGAGAAGACGAATCCATGTATACCTAACATCTTATATCCGTATACCTTATAACATCTTTAACTTTCTCTATAATCCTCTTTAATCTCAACTTAAGATTGGATTATCATGATTGGTCTCTGTAATTCCTCAATTTTTCCTCACAATTGGAGTTGACCATGGTAACACATATTGGGAAAACAAAAGTTTAAAGTGATGACATTAAACTGGGAAAGACCATATTGAGCCATTTGGATTAGGCAAATTTAATCCTTATCAAAGCTTTTTTGCCTTCACATTGGCTTACAACCTCAGCTAACATGATCGAACTCTTCAATTTTTAAAATTGACCATGGCAACTAATTGATTCACCAAAGGCTTAAAATGTTGAATAAACAGGAAAGGAAAAAACTCGAATCTTGTTGCTTAAAATCACGATTAAATTAGAGGATCTAATTCAACTTTTCGCAAACCAGTTATATCAGTGTCCAAGAAGCTTAAAATTTGATCGAGTCAATAGCAGCCTTGATTGGAACCAATGTGGAAATAACTAAATCTTTACATCCAAATTCAACTGAAAGAATCATCAATTCATAATTTAGCATTTTGTTTGGTCTTATCCATGAACTCCACCACCGAGATGACTTGAAGTCTCAAGTTTATTAGCAAAGATTCAACCATCATCTAATCAATCAATTGATCACTTGAACTTTAAAAAAACTGAGGAAAAAATGAGATTAAAAATATGTTTTCATTGATACACATGCAAATGGAGCGAGAGAAATCCAATGAAAGTATATCTGATGAATTTTGTCAAGAAGTTGATACAAGTTTATTGAACTTTTCATACATTATTCAGTGATGAATTCAATATTCAATCTTTCATTGCAACAATAATCATATTGTCAATCGTAAATCATTTTTTTACCTTCTCATTGAGACATTTTGACTTTCATTCATCCTTAAACCATTATATTATCATCAACAACAATAGTAATATTTTTTACTCCATATTCAACTCCCACCTAATCCCTACGATTTGCTGTTGGCTGTTTGCTGTTGAACAATCATCACCTTAATTCTCCCAGGTATTATTATTATTGTCAACAAATTGGAAAACAAAAGGAATGGAAGTTTCATCGTTACAATTAAAATGTCAGGAAGGAACAAAAAAGTGCCAATCTTAAAATGTTATTTTACCATAAAGACTAAACACTCAACCTGATCACCAAATAATCAACATACATAATGAATTTGTCTCATTTAATTCAATTTTCCAATTCAATTAACTTCATCAGGCAAACAATTTGCCAGTCAAATTGAATATCAAATTGGTTTAAAATTGAAAGATTGAGAAGAAAACAAAAAATGTCTCAAACTGAGCAAACTGTGTGTCGCTCCAGTAATAAGATTAAACATCAACATTTCTCTTGAATAATTAACAATCAAAACGTTAATTTGTAATCAAATATTGTTCATCAACTTTCACCATTTCCATTCATTCAATTACGAAGGAAAAAAGTACAACTTCAAGGTTTAGCTTCATCATCATCATCATCATCCTACTACAGTTTGTACGCATTCATTCATGGTTATGGTTTTACTCTGAGTGAATGAAATTGAATAAAAGGAAAGAATATTCATTGATAAAAGTGAACGTTAAAAGACAATCCAGAAAGAAGGTCATGAAACATGATGATTATTACGATGAGAGTAATGATGAACACTATTATGAGCACCTTGAGACAGACTCGGGTAACAATCAGATTAACCATATCAGGTTATCAAAGCCTTATAAAGCAGTTTGATGACAACATTTACAGTCATTTAACCTAACTTTAATTTACCTTTTCATCTCAACATTTCATCTAACTCAATTAATTGTTTCCAATATATTATTGAATAAATCACACATGATTGTTGTAGGTGGTAATACAATTTTGCATAACCTTTTTGACTTACCTTAAATGGCTTTCAAATTATTACCTCAACTGATTACCATCAATTGATGAACACTTGGCCAAAGTAAAAAACAATCAGATCAACTGTCCAAAAACATTGAAAATATCATTAGCTTTTGTGTGTTAACTTAATTTTGGTTTCAGAAATTTTTCACCTTTTCTTGATTCGATTAAAAAAAGATTAACATTTCCTTTTTTGAATCATTAGTTAATTTTATCTGATTTGTTATTTTCAATGTTAACCATCAAGCTAATCACAATTGACCAATCTTACCTTGAAACAATTTGTTAACAACATAATAAGCCTTTTATGATCAACTCTGAGCTTTTATTGCTTTCAATGAATCACTTTGAAATGGATTCCACTTTTGAATCCAATTTTTGCTTCCATTTGTATCCAATGTCCTAAATTGAAGATGTAAATTGTTTGAAATTGTGATTTGTGATCTAACAATGAGGACGGAAAGGCCAAGCATTAATACAATGAGCAAAAGGCTGTCAGAATTATCAGGGTGGATTCCATAAATGGACACCCTGTTGATGATGATATCCACCCACCCCTTGACTTTCATCATTTTCATTTTGGTTCATCATCATATTGAAATTGAAAACCATTGAGTACGCCAAGAATCAGGTAAACAAACAATCATTATCTTGTCTCACAATGTTAATGTTAACACATTTATCAACAATTTAACTTTAACTTTCTAATTAATGTAAATTCACTAAACAAGGGAATCCCTGTTTCTCCCAATCAACTCTCATTAAAATTTCCACCTTATTAAGGTTCATCTTACTGAAACAATCAACAGCATTACATCGACAATTTAATTACTTTTTTTTCTGTCCACAAAAAGACAGTCAATTTAAATTGTTAATTAAAGCAAAATTTGTGTTTTCTGGGTTTTTTTGTTCACCAGAAAATACATTTTAACCATTAATGGTTACAACTGTTTGGCTTGTTCAACATTTTCAATATTTCAATCTATTTTGCCAATTCTTTGAGGGTTTAATATTTAATGAAAATTATGTTCAAAACAACTTGTAATATTAAAAGTCAAAAGGTTGATTGAATTATTTACAATAATCAAATAAATCTGATCAATAAGTCGCACATCTGTTCATTTTTTTTGCTACTTCTTCAGTCACTATCTCCCAATTACTTGAAACAAACAAGTATTACATGTTGGATTACATTGTATTACATATTTACATCTTTACTTCTCACCTTAACTATCGTCATTTAGTTAAACTTGGTTGTAAATACTTTAAGGTTACAATAAAATATTCATCTCATTGTAACATGAAAGGATTTATCATTTAATGTATCACTTTTTTATTTCAATCCACATTAACATTGTTCTTGTCTTGCTTTTTTATGTACTTACCTTTTCATCGTTTGACCTTTACCTTTGTATTTTTTTCCCTCTTCCGGACAGTTTAAGAGCTTGCGTGGGCTTTAGTTGTTGATTAAATTAAAATGTTACACATGTTAAATTAAAATACGAGAAATAATAAAATAAAAAGGATAAAAGAATAAGTAAAAGAAATTTTTCAAAATATTAAATTGTAAGCAAAAAGGGAAAATCATGGCGAAAAAAAGTAAATCAAAAGCACACCTTAAACAAGATATTGATTAATTGATGCCTCAAGGCAAAATGTTTAAAATTAATCTTCAACAATAGTCCTTGTGGTTATTAAATTTAGCCCATTAGTAGGCTTACTAATTAACAAGACAAAAAACAAAAACTAGATTAGAATCTATTTGACTTCAGATCGCACAGTAAATCCTAGAGCAAGACAATATTTTAAATATCACACAATTTAAACATCAATCCAGTAAAACCAATACAAGATGAAACTTGAAACTCAGGCTGAATCTGAATAATAATCAAAACAGTAACAAATCAAAATAACAATTAGATGAGATCAAAACAGAGGCAAAGACTAATTTGATTTTAACAGTTATCCAGCCATAAGTCAACAGATGTTTAGCTCTGTAAAGACTAAAAAATTGCTCTGTAGATGGCGCTCTTTTACCCGATTCGTTGAGTTTAATTCAAATGATTGACCAAAAATTAACAGAAAATTATTAAATCACAATTAAGAACAAGACAAACATAATCAAGCCAAGCCTTTGTTTATCAAGAATTATTCAACAAATTAAATCAAAAGTAAACATTTATTCTCAATATTGAGTTCTGGTTATTAAGGTAAAGAAAAGGCAGAAATAAGTGAAAGTTAATAATTTAATTAAGTTTAATTGCACTTTAATCAAACATTGAAACCCGATTCAATAGATAATGAACAGAAAAATTGTCAGAACTAAATATTTATAAAAAAATGTTCAGAAAATATTTCAAGCTAAAAAGTTGAAAGAACAAAAAAAGTAATAAATTCTGTTCGTTTGAAGATCGTTCTGAATTATTGTGGTTCCACTTTGAATCAGAACTTTTTCAGTTTCTCTTTTATTCTCTGATAATTTTGTAAATAAAGGAATGAAGCGCAGAATCGAAAGGTTCAAAGTCAATTGTCATGAACTCTCAAGACTGGTTATAAACCTTTGAGGGAGAACTATTTTATCTGTTGATCGATTAGATTGAACTTGAAACTCAACAGAACCAGAATTTTGTACTCTGAATCTTGCAACTGACCTTGAATTGTTGTTTCATCATTCTGGTTATTTCTCTGTTGGAACTTTTCTTTTCACCTAAAAATCTCATGGTCATGTTACCTCTCTTTCATGACAATGTTTCAGACTAGAAACCAGAAAAAGATGGAAATGAACATGGAACAGGTAAAGATTAGAATAACGATGAAAAGAATTATCAAAGTTTCAATTGAATTCCGAAGAGACACAAAATTCTGATAAACTCTCTTGTATCATGTTTTCATCATGTATCTCAAGCTATTCAACAGTCACCTTTTCACATTTCCTATTCAACAAGTTTCAACCTTTTTCTTCTTCTTTCCTTATCATTATTATTCTCAATCAAATTTGGAATTTTATCTGATTCATTTCTTTATTTTCCTTTATCATCATTATATTTCAATAAATTGAACTGAATTGATGATGAAAAATGTGAAGAAGCAAAAATTCTGTTAACTTTTGATATTCTTTTGATTCAATGAATTTTCAAGTTTTCTCGACTCACTTTGAGTCTTGAATGGGAAAAAGAAAGAAGAGTGAAAATTCAGCCGGAAGTTACATGATTTCTTTCCATGGAAAGAAAAGTCTCTTTTTAGATAATTTTTTCACTTTAACCTTTTAACTTTTAAAAGGCCGTTCAATCAGCATAACTCTTTGGTTAACCTTTTAACCAATTCCGGTTGGATCCATTATCAGAATTGAATTTTTCATTACAATTCATTTTTAACATGATGAGTCTAATAATTATCAAGAGACTTCTAATGTCTGGAAAAAATCTCACCGGAAAAGTTACATTCTTCAACAAATTCAACAGGTTAATCTCATTATTCAATGGTAAACAAGGTCGATATTTAGTTCTGAAAAGTTTTTTCGTTTACAACGGAAAAATCAAACTTCCGAATCAAATCCAGAAAAATAATGGACATGAAAAAGATGTTGAAACACAATTATTTTTTCTTAACATAACTGAGCAGTGATGCTGAATCCATATTTGATTTTTTTTATTTTAAAAAGTTCCAAATAAGTCAAAAACTCCATTGGTTGTGTTTCGGCATATTTTTGTTCGTACACCTAATGAAACTTTTTGATTATTTCATATACGCAATGATTTTGAAAATTGGGCGCGAAATAAGTTTTTCATGGGAAAAACTATAAACTGTGTTTTGATCTGAATCTGTCCATGTTCCAGGTCGTGCTTCTCCATGAAACACTGTCTAGATATATAATGAGTAATGCTTATTTCATTTATAAAATTATTTCGAGACTAAAAGTACGCAAAATAAGTCAAGTGTTGGCAAAACCGTAAATATCATTGTAACAAATTATTATTCTACATCTCTAATTATCATGACATGAATGATTATTTTATACCGAAATCGAATGAAGTTCACTGTCTTGTATTTTATTCTGTCGCATACTGTTTATTGAAAGATAAATCAGATACAAACGAGCTATTATAATTTCGTAAGTCTTTTGAAATAAGTTGATATTAAATCTATTTTGTTAAGTTATATAAGCTAAGCTTTTATAATCCAGCAATAAGCTTTCAGTGTAAGGTAAATTTTTATCAGAGAATTTCATTAAATTGTAAATTCTCTGAATTTTACTTGAATATAAGTTTGGAGTTTAAAATTTTAGCTGTTGAGTTTTGAGGGGAAGATTTCAACTGTTGAGTCTGATGAAGAGTAAAATTTGTTGGAAAAAATTTCATGTTTCACATGGAGATATCTTCAGTTCTGTAAATGAGTTACACTGATTATGAGTGAATATATTTGGCTAAATGTTGAACCGCAATCCCAATGAAAACAAAGTTAAATAACTTTTCCTTTCATTTGATGATAAACAATTTATGAGGTTAAATATATTTTCCGGCATTTTTATGACAAATTTTGTCTTGGAATGTTGATGATGAATTGGATGAGATGTTGTTTTTGTTCATCATTATCACCATGATGTGGATGAATTGAAAAAACAAAACAAACAGAATTTAATGAAAAAATTATTTCTATTTTTATTCCCATATTTTCAGAATTATTATATTTCAAAATATCATCAAAGGCACCATAAAATAAGAAACAAAAAACACTTTCATCAACTTTCATTATTAAATAACAATCATTACCAATGATTTAACAATCAACTTAACCTTATTAACCTTATTTATGGTACTTACTGTAAGCCTGGCATTCAGCCAATTGTAATCAATTATCATTTCATCCTTTAAATTGTTCATCTTTTCAAAGTTAATTTATGACAAAAAAGTTCACTTTTTTATTAATAAACTGCAATAATTTGATTAATTCAATGTTTTTTGGCCAAAAATATCAGTTTTTGTGTTCGCTAAGTTATTCATTTGCGCTCAATATTTTGGCATTTTGAATGCTCATCGATCAGTCATTTTATTAACGATTCATTGTCCAACCCAAAATGATCAAAACAAAAATTGTGTCCAATTTAAGTTCGAAAAAAGACGTTTTCCAATTTTTACTTAAGTTACAGTTAAAATTCGTAGTTGAACTGAAATTTCGTTGGAATTCATTTAAATTATGAAATTCTCATTTGTTTCAATTAAGATCTTAATTGTTGCTCTTCAGTCTTTTCAGTAACAATGTTCACTGATAAGCTCCCTGTTGATTGACTCTGTTCAATCTAAATTGATCAAATCAAACAAGACCTCGAATCTTGAGTCGAACCAATTACATGATGAAATGTGGAATTATGCCTTTTCTCAGAATCATCAACTATTCATTGATAGTCTATGACCATTCAATGATTTTCATCTGTTTTCTGGTTCAATAACGAAACTCATTTCGAAACATTACTTTGTTATTTGAAACAAAATAATTGAAAGAAAAGGCTTTTTCAATGAAAAATTGAAACAAAAAACTAATTATTTGAATGAAAAAGACTGATAAAGGTTTGAACAAACAAAAAGGTTTTAAATTGTCATGAAATATTAATAATAAAGGCGAAACTTCCGATAAAGTTATTAATAGCATTATGAATGGAATTGCGATTAACATGGAAATCATGATTTGTGTCTCTTCCATTATCATGTTATAATTACTAGATCTGGAAAAAGTTCAAGTGAAGTATTTTAAGCTGTTAACCAATAAATAACGTTATTTGTATCATTAAGTGTTAATAGTAATTATAGACATTTGATGAAATAATTGAAACGTGATTTTGATCAATCAATCAGAATGATGATGAGTGATGAAACATGAACAATAAACATGCTAATAACGAGTCTGACTGTTTCAAGTTAAACGTGATAACTCACAATAACTGGATAAAAAGGATTGAAAAATTGTAAGAAAATTGAATAATCAAAACACTGGAATTTGAAATCATTTGATTATCTTCAGAGAATTTTATGAAAAATGAAAAGTTCTGAGATTATCTTTAACTGTACAAACTGAGAATCTAATTGCTCTTTATTTCCGGCGGAACTTTCACTTCATGCGCAATCTCATTCTTATCGATTGCGAATAATGAAATTGCATGAAAAAAGAAGAAGAAAAAAATTCTCTGAGTTTCTCCGGAAGGAAAATTCTTACTCATTCTTTCAGAATCACAGAATACAAAGTTCCTATTCCACTTTCATCATTCACAGCCCTCATCATCATCATTTCCTGTCACCTTTGAAACTCTGAATAAACTCGAAATTTTCATTCATTTTTTTCTTCTTCTTCTTTATTCATCAAATTAGATAAGAAATTTCGTTGATAAAAATCGTCAACGAATTTTATTAACGAAAAAATTAGTTGAAAATAAAGTTTAGTTTCCGGTTGACACGTTTGACTCTATGAATGATTCGATGAATGTCTCGAGATGGAAATTCTTGGTAAACTTATTTCCAATTCATTCACATGATAGTCTGGTTTTCCATTGAATTTCATTTCCATTATCATCACTTGTTACCTGAAAGTTCAATGGCATTTCACCTGAATCTCTTGTGAATTTATCAGAAGAAGAAGAAGCAAAAAGCTTAAAGATAATAATTGAATATCATTATTATTTCAATGAATTTCCCTGTTATAACACTTTTCCGGATGATAATGTGTTCACTGGGAGTTTGTCGCATCCATTATTGTCTAACCATTGTTTACTTTACATGATAAAATTGCTCAACATTTAAAACATTGAGTACAAAACATGAGCACTTGAATCTTAATCTTTACATGAAATTAAATTTCATTACATTTCTTATCAGGAAATCAAAAGCAAGTTCATTTTCATCTCTTTACATTGCTTTTCAATGTTAATCCATTGATTATTCAAAGATGAACCTTTTTTCATTTGTTTTCATCTTTAATTGTTTCAATTAGTAAACAGATTTTTTCAGATCTTTTTTGTTTCTCTTCTATTCAGGTCATAAAGTGAGTTAAACTTGAAAGATGATGATGATTGTGATGATGATGATGATACTTGAGATGATGAAGATGGGAAGGTTGTCTCGATGATAATGAGATGACTCAAGTAGAGTAAATGTTGTATCAATTGACAGTTTGCTAAATTGTTGTTAAATTGAATGGAAATTGAAAGAAGATGAAGAAGCAAGAAAAGGGAGGAAGATAAGTGATGATGAGGAGAGAGTCTTGAGAACCGGTTCTTTGATATGAATCAACGTACCTTTGATGGATATACGTTTACTGGTTTTGGTCATTTCTTTATACCTTTTCTTGTTGTTATTTAAAATAATAAAGTATAATATTGATTCAAGTTAAATCTGTGATAAAAGTGATCATTTTTTTAATCAACTGATTGATTCTGCTAATTGATAATCACATAAATGGATCACTTTTAACTGTAAATGTTGATCAAGAGTAAATTTAAGGTTAACATTTATCTTTTACTGGGTTTAATGGGTATAAAAGTCAACTTATGCCAACGTCTTTTGGGTTTCCCTTAATATTAGCTTTTTTTCATTTTCACTCATTTCCCTTGAAAACCATAGTAGATTAAAATTGAATAAAATGATGATGCAGATGATGGAAATGATGAAGGTAAGGATGAACTTGTTCACTTGATAATGGCAGTTTGTTAGTCATCCTTTGCTCATATATGGTTTGTAAGGTTGTCAGGATTACAATTAAAACTAAAACATTGTTCAATTGTTCAACTTGATCAATTGAAGCAAATTGACACAAAAATTGAATTGAAAAGCTACAGCAAAATGTTGATTCCCTAAATTTCATCTGACTTGAAGGTAAATTTTAAGACAATTAAGTTTTACAATTGATTCCGGTAAAGTTACTGAAATGACTTATTTAAACCGTAATTTTGGCGGATAATTTTGACCACTAAAGTTGATATAAAAGGCAAGATCATCAAGTGAAGATTGGTCCGAGGTAATTGAAGAGACAGATTAAGGCGACTGTAGATTTACTGAGTCTGATGAAAGGTCAGACATGTTAAAGTCTATGTCGATACACATGTCTGTACAATAAGATAATTGTGAGTTAACATGAATACGAATGGAATTTAAATGTTAAATTTTGACTATTTTTCACCCAAAATTACTGACTGGAGGCGAGGAAAGAGTAAAGGCTTTAAAATAAATGGCGAGATTCAATAATCTTAGAACAGAATTGAGTTTCATTCGTTCAGAGTTTCAATCAATTGTTTCTCATCTTGATGCTAATATTTGGAAGCTAATTTTTTGGATTTAGTCAACAGCTAGACAAGTCTTAAAGCTTTCACAAAGTAACTTGAATGGCTTTTGTCATTTGTGTTTATCACAATTTTGTTTGATAATTATTTTGACAAGCTGAGCCACGATCATGACTGATCGTAAATTTCTTTTCACTGAATACAATAAATCCAATCCACATCTAAAGACTAAAATTATTGATGAAAATCCATTGTCAATGAGAAAAAAAAATAAAATTTGATTCAACAGTTGAGGCAACATATTTTTTACGTAACTCTTTACTCGAAAAATGATTTTACTTATCCTTCCAATTTAACAATAAACCAGCAATCAACCTAAACCAAAAAAATTTTTTCCCCAAAGTCAATGATAAAAGATACGGATTCTGCATTTTTTCCCCTACCCTGTTTAAACGTTAATTCTCAGGTACCTGAATTCCGTTGAAGTTCAGACTATTTTTCGTGGATGTAGTTTAATCATGACTTTCAGGCTGTAAAAAAATTTTCTTTAGAATCCTTTTAGTTTGGCCACAATCTTTACGCAAAAATTTCATGTTTTGACTTTATATATGGTATAGATATAGATTAGTTGATTTGGCTGTAAAAACCTAAACAATAAACATTTTAATTGAGATTAAGGGTTAAACCGATCGTTTGATCAGCAGACGTTTTCTGGTTTCTCTGGTTGATTAAATTGACTTTCAATTGTAAATGGATACCCATAAATGGACATGTTAACTTGTTGATACATTTTTTACATGAAACTACCAGAACTCTGTTGATGATGATAATAATTATGATCATCAAGATGGTTGAAGATGAAGAAGGCTGAAATCTGTGAAAATGGGTTTGTTTACAAATCACACCCAAGGTGTAACCCAACTTTAATAGTGAACATTTAACCTGATTAAGATCGAGACGATGCAACAATTAAATCAATAATTTGCAATGTTTAACAAATGATTGTGTGATCAACATTTGATTAACTAATAAACAAAATCTTATTTACACGATTAGAACCTTCAATTGTCCTTGGAAATTTTTACCTTCCTAATTATGATCATCAATTTTCCAATGTTATTGTAGGTTGATTGGGATAATAATAATAAAAATAACGATTATCGGGAAAATCCGTTTACCTTTTTTGTCACTTTTGTTGTTTCCAGTTGTTTTTGCGCCGGAAGAAGGTAAAGGTCGCTTTAAAATGGTTTCATATTGTTAACGCTATTTAGATGACCTAAGGTCAGATGAGCTGTGTTTATGAATAATTAATTAATTGGTTGAAATGAATTTTATGAGGCTTTCCTTTTTCGAAGCTTACGATTTCATTGATGAACAAAACGCTTGAAATGAGTAACAAGTGGGTGATACGAGTGTGTAGGTTGACTTAAGCCGACGACGAAGATGATTATTAAGTTATCGTATTCGTCAATGAATTCAATTACAATTGGCTGACCTTCGTTTGCTCAGTTGGAAAAGTGATCTTCGAAATCGCTCATTTTCGAAATGAAATTTTCCTTTTTTTTGCTGCACTTTTTTTTCTTCTCATTGCTTTTCATTGCTTCTCATTGTTTTCAAGACTATTTATAGCATAATTGTTTTGTTGTAAAAATTTTGTCTTTCATGCTATTGCTGTTGTTGATGATGATGATAACGATGAAATTGTGGCAAAAGATGCTGCGAGATTAGGTGAAATTCATCATGGAATGTTACATGAAAATAACTGAAACGAAGGCAATGGAAAGGCAAATGATGATAAACATTTCTGTGTTGTCACATAACTTGGAAAGCTTGTTTAGACAACAACAAGATGAGTTAGATGATGATGATGAAGAAGCCAAGATGAGGAAGGAACTAAGAAGAGATTTGGGTTTGGCGTTAAAAGTACCACTTTCCATGCACTTGGAAACGCTTTTTTTGCCAAAATTTTCAAACTCTTTGACATTTTACAGTCTTTTTTCACCAACAAAACAAAATAATCATTTCTTATCAATCTTTTTCATCCACGACATTCAGGTCCAGTTCATGTAAGAGAAACGGCATGAAATTTCAGTTGAACTTAAACTAACTTTTGTCAAAAATTATCACCAAAACCAACAATACCAACAGTTTTTTATTGAACAAGATTGACTATTTGATCGCCAACAATTAAGTATCAACAAATATCATTAATAAAATATTTTGTCTGATCTTATGTAAACTCAATGTTAGGCTGATGATGAGTTTTGTTGAAAGGGGAAATGGTGAACCTTCTAGGATCAACTTGCCAGACTTGTTAGGCAAGTGTCTGTGAAATGTTTTAAATGTTTTACTCTTCAACTGAAAAGGATTATTTGTATTAAAATTACTGATTCAGTTTACTGATTTTCATCTGAAATTGACAACTCAATGCTCAGTGTGTTCGAGAGTAAAAAATTGAAAATTGAATTGGTCAAGCATTTTGTTGATAAAAGTATTGTTGTACATTGTATTTGTCATGTAAAAAAGTGCGTGAACAAAAGTGATATTAATATTGACATCATATGGCTACTAACCATCAACAATTGCGAGTTATTTGCATTTCTTGCTGTAAATAGCAAACTATATTTAGCGTTTTCATAATAAATCCATATTTACTTGAACATTGTATTTATATTTAGCTCAAGTTCAAGTTCAACGGCATGCTGCAAAACTGCATGTTGTAACTGATTAACGTTGTTGTCATAAATAGAAATGAACAAATAATAATATCAATAATAATGTTAACCTCATTGGCTATCAAGTTAATGGCAATTCGCAAAAATATCGATGTAATATTGTTGCTCAATTAGCCATAATGGTTAGGAACGAACAACGGAACAAAAATTTGCTACTAATATTGATAGTTAATAATGGCTAATTGTTGATACAAGTTGTTGATTAATCACCTCCAATAATTTATTTACCGTCAATCCAATTTCACTTTGATAAAATTGGATCCATGAAATTAGATGAAATTTAAATGGCGTTAATCAAATTGTGTTATTTTTACAATTTTTGTACGCTCTTTGCATTTCATTTCATCGTACAATTAATCTTCATCTTCATCTTTATTGTTGTTTTGCTCATCATTCAAGTAAATTGTCATCATTTTAATCTGCCAAGCTAATCAGTAAATCTGTGTAAACCTGTGAACACATCATGATGATGAAGACAATCATAATACACGAAAATGATGCCAAGAAAGTTTTCCAAGAAAATGTATTTAAAAATTTTCTCGAAAAATTGACAAATATTTTCAACAATTTTTTCTCAAGAAAATTGAAAATCTGATAAATTTTCAACATGAAAAATGGATGAAAAATGTTTATTTTGAAATCTCAAACATTTGACTTTAGTGATGGATTTATATTTAATTATTCAAATGATTAAAGTGTGATTCTAATTTTGATGAAAAGTCAATTTTAAAAGACAATTTTTATTGAATTTTCATTTATCACTTTTAATGGCAAACTCATAAAATTGTTTTTTAAACCAACCAAATCAAGTTAAATTGAGAAATGTTTCAACTTGAAATGTTAAATTGTCTGAAAACTATTCTTATTTCGTTACCCTGAAAATGAACTTAAATATTTGGATAAATTTTGTTGATAAAATTTCAATAAAAGTGAAGTTGATTTAGATGAAAATTAAACTCTAAAAGTAGCTGTAAAATGACGCTCAATTTAAAATATAAATGTCTAATATTACAGTTTCCTGACGCTTTATGACAATCATGAAATTATCATGAAAATATCATGAAATTGTGAATGGACAAAAAAGTAAATCTGATTGAAATGTCACGTGATGCTGGTAAAAAAGAAAGTCTTTTTTCGTAATTTTGTGAATGAAAAAAAAACCAGAAAAAAGGAACCAAAACGATGACCAAAGAAGAGAGTAAATAAGAAAATCGATAAAATATCGATCGTCGGAAGAAGAAGATGTTGCCGTGATGATCAGGTTTGATGAAGATGAAGTGAGTTGATGATGAGGAGCAAGAAAAGTTGTTCATGAGAGCGCATGAAATTTAGAGTAATAACGTCATTTTGACGTTGAATGAAATAGTAAAATAGTAGATTCTGATTGGATGAAAGCTGGTTCCGGCGTGCCTTAAAAGGAGATTTGTGGTCGTGGTTTTCATTCATGAAAAGATTCAACTAGCAAAGCAAGTTTAGGAAAAAGATTCAGAAAGATTGAGAAAGCCACAGAACACACATCAACACATTCACATACACAAACAAACAAAGTGTGTGTTTTGTTTTGTATTTTGTTTTCCCTCTTATTCCTGAACAACAAGAGTGATTATTCAGCAATAACATTTTCACCTTTCAACGTTTACCTTTTTCCTTTCAATATTTCAAAAAACTGACTCTCAATTATCGTAATTTAACTTTCAAAAATCATGTGTCTTCATCTGTTTACTGTATCAAGCTTTAACCTTATTTCTGGTTCAACTTTAACCCAAAGTCGGCTTCAATGTTTAACCAGTGAAGTTTAGTTGCTTTCAAATCAAGTGCCAATTGACAGTAAATTACTGGACATTAGTCGTTGACTTGAAATTTTTAATCAAATTCAACTGTTATCCTTTGACAACCTGTTGACCATTATATTTTATCATTAATATTATTATCACTTTGTTGACTTTGATTTGTTTGTGTGTGTTTTGCCTGCACTCCTTTTGGTTTTGTTCAACAGCTGTTTATTGACTCTGTTTTTTGTTGGGCTCCAAACATGATTATGAACGGTATCCTGTCTCAGGTCAACTTGTCCATTGAGCCTCAAACATTTAGCTTTGATTCGTACAAGTTACATCAAGAATCGGATGAAAGTGAAACCGATTGTGACCTTAGTGAAGTAAGTCTATCAACAGTAATTTCACCTCCAACTCTTGTAGGCTGCAACTTGATTAACCTAGCATCATCATCGTCCCTATCCTCTTCACCTTCACCCTCTCTATCACCACCTTTAACCCTATCATCATCGCCATCAACCTTGTCCAATAATAATTATGATAATTTTCAACTCAATTTTCACCTTAATTCTTTACTTGATTCTTCATTTGATTCTCAACTAAATCATCTTTATAACACTCGTCCATCTCATCAACAATATCCTTCTCGGCCAACTTCAATTCACTTGATTAACTCAACTAAGGCAACAACAAATTCAACTTCAACATTCACCAAAATCATATCAAATAAAAATCAACAGCAACGACAACGTTCACTCGATGAACCGGCAACTGCTGGAGACAAAACTCCCAATAGTCCAAATAGTAGTGCAATTGAATCAAATCACAGTGATAATAATACTAATAATAATATAATGGGTGATGAATCCCTGAATACGCCAACAACAACATCCAATGGAATCTCTGCCTTTTTCAGTTGTGCAGTCACTTCAATCCCTGATCCACTTCCAATATCAGGTGAGTCTCAATGGGCTTCATATTGGTCTTTAGTCTTGATAGTCTTTAGCTCTTCAATTGGTCAATTGGTCAATAAATGGTCATCTCTTTGGTCATTTGTCGCTCCTTTTCTCAATCATTGATGAATCACTGAAATACAAACAAGAAAAAAATATTAATAACTGTTGATGAGTCAATGATTAACGTCTGGCTTATTATTAATTTTACTTGTGATTAATTGTAATATGAAACGTTGAAGGAAACAAAATTATTATTTTGTTACAATTCATGATGAATCAATATGAATTTTTAATTCACATGAGATTTGATTCAATGATTGAATCTTGTTTTTGCTTTTTTTATATTAAGTAAAATTGATTTTTACTTTTTGCTTTCATCTCTTCTTAAGAGGAGACTTTAATAATGATAATCGTAATTTTGTTATTAAATCATTTTTATCATTATTATCATGGAATGAATTTTCATTGAAAGGAAAAGAAAGAGAAGAGAGAGAGAGAAAGAAAAAAAAGTGAACAAGATTACTTTGATTGTAACTCATTTCGGTTAAAGGGAAAAGGTCATGTCTGATCATGATGAGGAGTCGAGGTAAAGTGTATCTTTGGGAGGCTGGGTGAGAAGAGGGAAATGAGGGAAATGTTCAGCTTCCGATGAAAGAGTTTTCTGAGTGAGACATGATGCTAGTCATGATGGTGATGATGAAAATGATGAAGATACAGAAAATCAATATTTTCATCTAAGGAGCTGAAGGGAAGTTCAGAGAGAGAGAGGAGTGAGTGTTGTTATATTTTTCAAGTTCAAGGACAGGGAACGAGAAAGGTTCAGAGAAAGAGGATCAACATGGGAGATGCAGACAGAGGATGAGGAGGATGAGGAGGAAAGAAAAGGATGAAAAAGTAATTCACATTCATCTGGTTATTTCACTTGATGGCGCTGCTTTTGTTGTTCAATGTTATTCAGTGTTTCTTTGAGACGAATCAAAACAATGGTAACAATTTCGTCAGTTTTATCATCACTTAATCCATCATCAAAATGATCATCTTGAGCGTCATTTTAACCGTCATCTTGCTCGTCATTTAATTTACACATTTAAGTCATCAATATGTTGAGATTTAAGTTTAATCAAGCAAACAGATTCCAGCCTCGCAGCAGTAAATATTCAAAAGCAGATTAATATGAAACATGAAATTATCGTAGCAGATAAAATTTTGCCATTGAACATAAACTGGTCAAGAGACCTAAAGTAACTTAATATTTATTTACCTTTTTGAATATTTACTGTTGATAGATTTACTCGACTTTGTTTACTCAATTAACAGAAACCCATTTTTTTATTGTTGATTCCGATTGATTGGTTTTCCAGATTGTTTTCCAATTAGACTAGAATCTATTGGACTTTAGATTAGAGTGAGAAAATATTTTACGAATCACAAAGACCACACAATTTAAACATTAATCTAATGAAACCAATACAAGATGAAACCAGCCTGAATCTGAATAATTAAAACTGGAACAAATCAAACAATAAAATGTAAAAAACAGAGGCAAAGACTAATTTGATTTTAACAGTTATCCAGCCATAGGTTAACAGATGTTAGCTTTACAAAAAAGGCTTTTATAAAATGGCTCTGTAGATGGCGCTTCTTGCCCAATTCGACGAGTTTAATTACAATGGTTGACCAAAAATTAACAGAAAATTATTAAATCACAATTAAGAACAAGACAAACATAATCAAGCCAAGCCTTTGTTTACCAAGAATTACTCAACAAATTAAATCAAAAGTAAATATTTATTCTCAATATTGAGTTCTGGTTATTAAGGTGAAGAAAAGGCAGAAATAAGTAAAAGTTAATTATCCAATTAACTTTAATTGATCAAACATTGAAACACGATTCAATACCTGAACAAAAAATTATCAGAACTAAACATTAAGAAAAAAAAGTTCAAAAAAAGTAATAAATTCTGTTCGTTTGAAGATCGTTCTGAATTATTGTGGTTCCACTTTGAATCAGAACTTTTTCAGTTTCTCTTTTATTCTCTGATAATTTTGTAAATAAAGGAATGAAGCGCAGAATCGAAAGGTTCAAAGTCAATTGTCATGAACTCTCAAGACTGGTTATAAACCTTTGAGGGAGAACTATTTTACCTGTTGATCGATTAGATTGAACTTGAACCTCACAGAACCAGAATTTTGCACTCACTCAGTGACTCACAGCGACCTTGAATTGTTGTTTCACCATTCTGGTTATTTCTCTGTAGGAACTTTTCTTTTCACCTAAAAATCTCATGGTTATGTTACCTCTCTTTCTTGACAATGTTTCAGACTAGAAACCAGAAAAAGATGGAAATGAACATGGAACAGGTAAAGATTAGAATAACGATGAAAAGAATTATCAAAGTTTCAATTGAATTCCGAAGAGACACAAAATTCTGATAAACTCTCTTGTATCATGTTTTCATCATGTATCTCAAGCTATTCAACAGTCACCTTTTCACATTCCCTATTCAACAAGTTTCAGCCTTTTTCTTCTTCTTTCCTTATCATTATTATTCTCAATCAAATTTGGAATTTTATCTGATTCATTTCTTTATTTTCCTTTATCATTATTATATTTCAATAAATTGAACTGAATTGATGATGAAAATGTGAAGAAGCAAAAATTCTGTTAACTTTTGATATTCTTTTGATTCAATGAATTTTCAAGTTTTCTCGACTCACTTTGAATGGGAAAAAGAAAGAAGAGTGAAAATTCAGCCGGAAGTTAAATGATTTCTTTCCATGGAAAGAAAAGTCTCTTTTTTAGATAATTTTTTCACTTTAACCTTTTACTTTTAAAAGGCCGTTCAATCAGCATAACTCTTTGGTTAACCTTTTAACCAATTCCGGTTGGATCCATTATCAGAATTGAATTTTTCATTACAATTCATTTTTAACATGATGAATCTGATAATTATCAAGAGACTTCTAATGTCTGGAAGAAATCTCACCGGAAAAGTTACATTCTTCAACAAATTCAACAGGTTAATCTCAGTAAACAAAGACAGTTCTGAAAAAGTACTTTCGATTAAAACGGAAAAATCGAGGGAAAGGGAAAATGATGATTTCATGGAAAAAATAGTCCTTCAAGTAATTTCAAAAGAATTGAGAATTTATGCAGAAAACTTGAAACTTTCAACGAACTTCTTCACTTGAAGAATTTATCAGAGAATTTCCAATTTAATGAAATTCTCTGAATTTTACATGAAAGTTTGAGCGAGCTTGGAGTTTAAAATTCAACTGTTGTTCAACTTGAGGTGAAAATTTCAACTGTTGAGTCTGATGAAGAGTAAAATTTGTGAGAAAAAATCTCATGTTTCACATGGAGATATCTTCAGTTCTGTAAATGAGTTACACTGATTATGAGTGAATATATTTGGCTAAATGTTGAACCGCAATCCCAATGAAAACAAAGTTAAATAACTTTTCCTTTCATTTGATGATAAACAATTTATGAGGTTAAATATATTTTCCGGCATTTTTATGACAAATTTTGTCTTGGAATGTTGATGATGAATTGGATGAGATGTTGTTTTTGTTCATCATTATCACCATGATGTGGATGAATTGAAAAAACAAAACAAACAGAATTTAATGAAAAAATATTTCTATTTTTATTCCCATATTTTCAGAATTATTATATTTCAAAATATTATCAAAGGCACCATAAAATTAGAAACAAAAAACACTTTCATTATTAAATCACAATCATTACCAATGATTTAACAATCAACTTAACCTTATTAACCTTATTTATGGTGCTTACTGTTAGCCTGGCATTCAGCCAATTGTAATCAATTATCATTTCATCCTTTAAATTGTTCATCTTTTCAAAGTTAATTTATGACAAAAAAGTTCACTTTTTTATTAATAAACTCCAATAATTTGATTAATTCAATGTTTTTGGCCAAAAATATCAGTTTTCGTGTTCGCTAAGTTATTCATTTGCGCTCAATATTTTGGCATTTTGAATGCTCATCGATCAGTCATTTTATTAACGATTCATTGTCCAACCCAAAATGATCAAAACAAAAATTGTGTCCAATTTAAGTTCGAAAAAACGAAAATGTTTTTCACTATTTACTTCTGGCACAAATGATTTTACAAAAGCTCTTTGAGTTTGGACGATTCCAAAGATTTAGATGATTTATGTTTTTATGAGTTCGCTATTTTTGGATTGATCAAGATTAGTAATTCGAACTGATTCTGTCCATTTTAGTTCGAAAAGAAGTTGTAAAATTTTAGCTCCATTTCAATATAATTTTCACTTGAAAACAATTTCTCAATTTGAACTATTCGCAAAAGATTTACAATGTTACAAGTTTGTAATGAATATCGTTTTGAGAGCTCAACTCTTGATGCCAAGTCAAATCAATTACATGATGAAATGTGGAATTATGCCTTTTCTCAGAATCATCAACTATTCATTGATAGTCTATGACCATTCAATGATTTTCATCTGTTTTCTGGTTCAATAACGAAACTCATTTCGAAACATTACTTTGAAATATGAAACAAAATAATTGAAAGAAAAGGCTTTTTCAATGAAAAATTGAAACAAAAAACTAATTATTTGAATGAAAAAGGCTGATAAAGGTTTGAACAAACAAAAAGGTTTTAAATTGTCATGAAATATTAATAATAAAGGCGAAACTTCCGATAAAGTTATTAATAGCATTATGAATGGAATTGCGATTAACATGGAAATCATGATTTGTGTCTCTTCCATTATTATGTTATAATTACTAGATCTGGAAAAAGTTCAAGTGAAGTATTTTAAGCTGTTAACCAATAAATAACGTTATTTGTATCATTAAGTGTTAATAATAATTATAGACATTTGATGAAATAATTGAAACGTGATTTTGATCAATCAATCAGAATGATGATGAGTGATGAAACATGAACAATAAACATGCTAATAACGAGTCTGACTGTTTCAAGTTAAACGTGATAACTCACAAT